GGGAGGGGCGGGTTGATGTCCAGCTCGAAGCCCGGCTCGTCCTTGATGGCACGCACACCGCCGCCCGGCTGGTCGAACAGCTCGAAACGACCCAACTGGCCGCCGAAGGTGACGTGTCTGCCGACCATCTTCCACAGCGCAATCACACGCACATCCGCCAAATAAGCCTACACACGACAGACAGACAGACAGACCGATGAGTGCCCCCGCCCCGCCCCACGCCCATCTGCCCACCTGTTTGCTATCGTGACGCTGCATGTCGGCCACAGCCAGTGTGATGGGCAGCTGACAGAAGCCGCGCTGCGCCGCCACCTTCAGCGCATTGGTCACCTCGGTCCACTGCTGTGTGTCCACCAGCCAGATGGCCTTCAACACGAGCTTGGTCTCCAGCTGCAAATCGAATGCGATGATGCCGTCGAGCTGTTTGGCCGCCAGGCAGCGCCCCAGCCGATTGCGGAGGACGGCGGCCGAGAAGTCTATCTGCGATAGGAAGGCGGCCGTGCATCTGAGTATGCCGACGTCCTTGAGGGTGTGGATGGCATCCCGCCCCAGGCTGTGGATGAAATCGATGGCCTTGTTCGCCCTGGCCGGCGGGACGGCCTGTCGGCTGCTGGGCACCGTCACGTCATTCCCCATTGGCTATCCCATCAGCGAGGCGCGTAAATTCGCTGCCGCGTTTACAGAAGGGTCGTCGGGGAGTTTCAGGTTTTCTCGGCATGGGTTATTCTGACGTGGTTGAGGCGTGTTTAAGCAAGTGGGGCAGCTGCTGTACCAACACGTTCATCAGCCTCACCATCCATCGCACCGCGCCGCCCTTGACGTCCCAAGATGACTCGTGCCTCAAGACCTCCCCCCTGGCCGGCCTCTGCTGCACAACAGACGCCCTCCTCTTCAGAGTCAAACCCATCGCCGCCGCAGATCGGCTCAATTGCAAGAATGCCGACCGCACCGACCCGCCCGAGAAACCGAAGCAGCCGCGGGCCTCTTCCCATCGCAAGATGAAGAGCAAGCACCACAACAAGGCCGCGGCCAGGAGGACATCACTCATCACGGCTTCACACATGCTCGATGACAACAACCACAAGCAGGAGCAGCAGCAGCAGACGCCGGCGGCCAGCAACACGGCCGCATCCGCACTCACGCCCTCTCCATCGCCCCACACGCCCCGTTCGCTCAAGTCGTCGCCTCAGCCGTTCGCCCCCTCCCTCCTCTCCTTCTGCTCGCCGCGCTCCCCGCCGTGCAGCACACCCAACAACACACCTGCAGCCGGCATCTCCACCAAGAGGCTCCTGTCGGCGTCGGGCGGCGGGCGGTTCGGTGCGGGCGATGGTCAGGGGGATGGGAGCGAATCGGACGGAGGCAGTGATGACAGCATTGTGGCGCCAACGCCCATACCCAGCTCGGTGCCTCAGCTCGTGTCGAGCCGGCCGACGGTGGGCAGGGACAAGGGCGTCATCAGCCGCGGGCGGTTCGTGGTGGTGGAGGGCAGTGAGCATCGCATCTGTGGGCGGGGGGGCGGCAGCACGGGGGTGCGACAGGTGAGAATACCCATGACATAGACACACACACATTCTTCATATGTGTGTGTCTGTGCCTTGTGTTGTGGTGCGTGTGTGTGCGGAAGGCGTTTGAGGATTGCGAGCGTGACTGTGAGGAGGAGGCACTGTCCGTGTGGCAGACCCACCAGCACAAAGGCAACAACACCCAAGGCAGCTCAGGTGCCCTCAGGACGATGGCAAGGCGATGAATGTGTTCGTGTCTCGTCTATAATCTCTGTCAGGTTCTGTCGTCCCGTCTTCGTTTGGGTATG